CGAGAGTTCACTGGCAAGAGAATTTGCTTCTACGCATAGTAATAGGCATGTTTGGCTAATAGGCTCTTTGTCTAAAAGCCTTTTGCATATTCAGAGCTGCTCATTTGTCACGCTAGCCTGACCTAGGCAGCAAATATAAAAAATGAGTTGTAAATATGCCGTTCTTACCAGAACGCCAACTGAGGCAAGCATTAGCTCTTGTGTGTTAAAGTAGTTATCTGCTGCTCTCTATAACTTCACAAGCATTGTCCAGCTACACTTATTTCTAGGATAGTTCTGCTGTCCATCACTGATTGTTCTGGTTTTAGAATTGCCTTACTCCATTGTCTGTGTTCTCTTAGAATACATTTAGTATTGGAGTGGACAAGTTGGATGATGTAGTACTTTTGGGATGGCAGATTTGATAACCTGGTATAGTTGAAGCAGAAGGCTCAGGATCCATTTTGGTTTTCCAGTTAAAAGAGGGAATTTTCCCGTTTGCTGGGTGTGTCTGCCAGGGCCTTTACCGGGCAGTAGTGCACTGAACTTCTGCACTCACTTGAATGCCAAGTTGTGTGCATCAGCTGGAAGGTAATGCCTGCATTACCTTGCACATCTTCCTCAGTAGTGCAATGAAGCTGTGACACAGTGAATAGTAAGCTCAAGTGGTAACTTGAAAAGCCAGGAATTTCCTTGGGACTGACTGGTTGTTTGTATGAAAGTGGCTTCATATATATTTTTGTAACTGTCTTTTTTCATGTCTAAAGTACAGATTCTCATTTTGTACTGTACCTGCTTTCTTGTCAGTATTTAATAAATTGTCCAAATGTTGAGTCACTTTGTATTTTGAAATACTTAGATTGCTTTGTTCTGTCTAGAACTAGCAGGCTTAGGTGTAAAACAAGACAATTTATTGGCAGAGTAGAAATCAATGGTATATATACACAGGATTTTCCTATTTAATTAGACTACATAGACTACTTTTTAAACAGAAGTAGTCAAAAGTGTGTTGCAGAAACACACAAAACCCTAATTTAAAGGGATTAGGTCAGAGATCAAGCTTTTCCATTGTTTGCTCTAAATCCTCTAAAAATAGAAATCCCAAAGCTAACAGTGGAGCGCAGCTGACTGATTAATTCTCCCAAAACAGCAAAACCTGTAGAAGTGTATGTTACAGCACCATCTAGTGCCTCTTAGCCAGCAGTATAGTAAACTTAATTTTCCACTTGAAGTATGTAGGTGGAGAAGAGGGAGTGCACTGGCTTCTTATACGTTCCGACAACTCATTTTCTCTCAACTAGTGCTGGGATAGAAGGGAGCTGATGGGTGTAAATGAGCTTTGGCATTTTACACGGCAAAGATTTCGTCAGTACATCTGCTGTTAGTTCCTTTTCTTTTATCCTCTTACCACTCACATAGTTTATTCTCCTGAAGATAGTAGGGAAGAGGACACAGGAGTGTCTATGCTAAGAAATTCAGGAGGAAAAGTACTGTGAATAAATATCAAACTGATCCAATTGGGGGGGTGTAGAGATGTATTTTCAGAAGAGCATATATTCTGTTTTGTGTGTATGAAGGACTGACAAGTCGGAGGTTGGGGTTTGTTTGCAAACACCTCTTGTTGAGAACTGCACCCATAATTAATGTACTTGTCTCAGGTAACCAGCACCCAAACCTTTGCTTTCTTCATCCCAAGTATGACCCTCAGCAACATTAAATGAAATTCTAACCATTGCTGTGTTTTAACAGCCTTTTCTCTGCTGTCCTTTTCTGTTGTTTTTTCTTCTGGAAAGGTGATGAATGTCCTCTGACTCCAGACTACTGAGAGGTTAGTTAACCAACACCAACTTTGCAATTAGACACTATTTCCAACCAGCAATTGCAAGACACAAAAAAGACAATGCGAGTTTGGCCATTAAACCCTACAGAGTGTGGTGGCATGGTACTTCAGCTTTGTTACTAAATCAGTGTCTTTACAAATAGCCCTCCTAAAATAAAATGAAAATTCAGCACAGCTGCCTGTGTGTATCTTTGATAAGCAGCTGCTGAAAAGAAAAATTCCCTTCATATTGAAGTGCTGTGATTTCATCTAAATTACAGTAATTTGGGCTACTCTGTCAGACAGATTGGCACTGACCAGATTAACTAACATACTCTGGGTTATACATACACTTGCCCTTACTAATTTGGGATTTTTACAGTCTACAGCTTGCTGCTTTCTGCGTTTAACCTGACCTGGGGTTAATACTGCTAGAAGAATAGGAAATGGCTTCCAGTGATTCCAGCCTGAGTTCTGGAACATGATACATGCTGGGATGGATTAAAGTTTAATGACTCTCACATAATTCAAGCTAAAAACTGCTTTTTTTTTGTGAAAATATCAATATTTAAACGTTAACGTGTTTTCTAGCAGGTTTAGGTTAAAAACCTTAACATGAATCATACCTTAGCATATTTAATAAATATCCTGGCAGTAACATGTAATCTAACAGAAGCCACATAGCTCAAGAAAAGTTTTCACGATGTCTTCACAACACTCCTGTAGGAAATGCTGGTAGATAGTAATGTCTGCAGTTTATAGTCAGAGACTAAATTAGAGCTAATACCCAATCTGGGTCTTTGGATTTAGATTCAAGGCACTAGCTAGTTATATATGCTGCACATGAATATAGCTCTTAGCAGTGTTAAGGTCATGAAGAGATACTATATCATCCAAAATAAGAACTACTGAATGCTTGGGGTTTGGTCCCAGAGTTTCCAGTACTCATAATTTTATTATGATTATTACTGTATTTAAGTGTTTTTTAAAAGAAACTCCATCACCTTCAGTCATGTGAATTGTTTGAGAATCTCATTAAATAGCCATTAAAAAATAAGTTCTGTTGCTCAAGACTACAGAAACAAGCTTGAAAGCGTGACTCAAATGTACCCCCGGCAACTAAGAAAAACCCAACAGAAATCAAAACAGATTAGCATATCAAAAGAAGCACAGATATTTAGCATAATGGTTTCTAATGAAACTCCTGGGTTTGAGAAGAAGTGGTTCATATTTCTTTAATACTTCAGTTTGTCAGATTGCAATCCATCCTGACAACGAAAACATCTGATTTTTTCATTATGGTATATGTGACAGATACAATGACCTGGAATTATGTATATTATACAGTGATAATACAGCAAAGCTATGGAATCATAACTTAGTCATGGAAGTGATTACTGTGTTCTTATAAGTGCTTAATGTATCATGTTGTGATACATTCCTCGTTTGGCAAATGTGATATTGATTGTTGCTCTAACGATGTACTCAGTTCAGTATAGATTGCGAGTATTTTGAAATTTCCCATCCATGATGGTAAGGAAATTAGGCTGCTATTTATCTGAAAACTGTTTCTCCAAAACACTTTAATTCTTATTAAGAAATAAATAAATTGTATTTTGCTTGCTGCCAAAATCATCATTGGTTTATGCTGTCACTGGTCCAGGAAGAAAGTTATTGCTGACTGAATTTGGAGGTATTGAAGAGAACAACAGAAAGGACACAATTTTGCCCTAAAAAAAAGGCCTTGTTTGCGAGAAAACAAACAGGGCTGAGACACTACTGAGGAACTGTGAAATGCTTGGGAGCACTGTATGGGATTTAGTGATTTGTTACAGTCTCCAAAGAATGCCAACAGCAATAAAAAGTAAGCATTTTAATGGTAAGGGAGAAACTGTGGAGCCACGTGTCAGGTTTGTTTGGAGTTTTTTAAAGGTGAAGGTAATGGTAATAAATGGTGAGACAGAGCAGTTGTATAAGAGTTGGGTAGTGCAGAGGCAGCCGCACCAAACTGAGGTTTTTTGGGGTGTATCAGCTGGTTTTGCATGCTGTGAGCCATTTCTGGTGATCACATCAACCTCACGTCAGAGCAATACTTTGCTGTTTTAGGTGAGCAGGACTAAAAAGCACAGTCTTGATCTTTTTGTTTGTGTGATTAAAAAAAAGATTTTTACTTAACCCTCAGTTCTTAGAGAGAAGAAGCCATTACCTGTGCACCAGTGAGGCACAGTAAGCACCACACACAGAACACCTGAGGTTTGGCACTGGAGAAGAGACTAAGCCACGATGTACCTCAGATCCTCTGCTGACCATCCAGATGTTTTCTGAGGCACGAGTCTAGCAGTAGTACTGCTTTTCAGACACCTGCATTGGAAGCCCGTGCTAAGTGTTCATACAGTACTGTGCAAGAGGAACTGTGGTTACACAGCAGAGCTCTTCAGCTGCAAGAAGCAAGACAGCAAGGCCCAGCAGTGTCTGTTGTGCACTGGTATCAGGTGTGTCCCACAAGTAATGCAGGTCATTTCAACCTTCCTGCACCCGAGTGTAGCACCCCTCTGTCCTTTTCCAGCTCTCAGCTGTGCATCTGGTCCAGTGACATCTGGGCTCCCTTGGGAATCTCAGCTGGGATTGCACAGCTTATAGAATCCCAGACTGGTTTGTGTTGGGAGGGACCTTAAAGCTCATCCAGTTCCAACCCCCTGCCATGGGCAGGGACACCTTCCACTAGAGCAGATTGCTCCAAGCCCCGTCCAGCCTGGCCTTGAACACTGCCAGGGATGGGGCAGCCACAGCTTCTCTGGGCACCCTGTGCCAGTGCCTCAGCACCCTCGCAGGGAAGAACTACTTTATATCCATGTAATCTAAACCTCCCCTCTGCCAGTTTAAAGCCATTCCCTCCTGTCCTGTCAGTACATGCCCTTGTAGAAAGTCCCTTTGCGGCTTTCTTGTCGGCCCCTTTAAGTACAAAACCGATTGCCTTCACGGTTTCTGATTGAAGCTGTCCGCCGGAAAGCTGACCCATCATGGATCTCTCTGCATCCATCCCCTCTCCCAGAGCTCACAGACACGAACCGCTTTATGGAGGCGCGGCGGGTGCCACCCTGAGATCCTCTAGCGAGGAAACCCGGCCTCCTCCCCGCTGTCCCCCGCCGCCCCGACCCGCGGGGACCTGCCTGCAGCCCGCACGCTCACCGCGAGGCGCCGCTAGAGGCCACCGGGGCCCTGCGCTGGCTCCTCCTCGCGCCGCCCCCCCCCCGCGCCGGCGGCTTCCCAGGCTCCTCTCCGGGTAAACAACGATGGCCGCCGAGGAAGGAGGCGGCGAGCCTCATAACAACATGGGGAACCACCTACAGCTGGTGTCCGGTAATGAGCGCGGCCCCTGGGGGGAGCCGGCGGGGTTCCGGGCCGAGCCGCGGGAGAAGGCGCCGGGCGTGAGGCGCAGAGCCGCGCCTGGGCGGGCGGGGAGGGGCCGATCCGCGATGTGTGCGTGGGGTCGGGAGGAAGGGGAAGGGGGGAGAGCCTGAGGAGCGGGCGGGAGGCCATGTGGGGCCTGGGAGAGGATGCGGGAGGGCGGAGCGGGGCCGAGGAGCGTGCGGGGCTGAGGAGGGCGAGCTCCGGGCCTAGGGGTGGGTGGTGCGCGGTGTAGCCGGCTCCCGGAGCCGCAGCCTTCCCAGGGGCGCAGGTGTGGTACGTTGGTTGCAATGGACCGAGTCGTGGTCCTGCGGTGGGAGGAGAGAGGCTCGGTCAGGGGCAGATGGGGTGAAGCGCGCTGTGGAGTTCCCAGCGAAGCGGGCACACGGAGGCGCTGTCTGGGGATGACCCCTGTAAAATCAAAGTCTGAGGACAGCGTTAAACGTCAGTTGTTGTAGGAAGTGTCCGCTCAATTCAAATGCCCTCTAGTGCCGTTAATAAGCAGGGTAGCAAGAGGTGCTGTGCGAAGGGCTTGAGAGCAGTGCTGGGTTCCACACACTGTCCAGGCTCCTGCAGTATTTATGCTGGAGTTTGCAGACCGGCATAATTCCTCATACGGAATCCTGTTGCATAATAACATGCGTTTTCAGTCGGTCTGCAAAAAACAGTTTCAGCATAACTAACAGGAGACTGCAGCAGGAAGTCCTGCCGGTAACCGGTGTAGTTTCCTTTAGCAGGAGTTCTATCAGTATTTTATGCCTGTATATTTAAAATAACATGAAAGTATTTGATGAATATTTTAGGAAATAAAGCCTATTTCCTGCCCTGTTCCTGCTGGGGCGGGGGGGGGGGGGGGGGGGGGGAAGAAGGGAAGCTATTAGTGTTGTTTTTTTTAAATGCGGTTCATAATTCCTCATTTGTGCACAGAGGTGTTGAGAACAGGTTTGATAGTGTTAGTGAACCAGCATAAGCATCTGGGAACGCCTTACCTGCTGCAGAACTGATCCTTGTCATGCAGGGTGCCTTCAGCTCTTGCCTTTCCCTTGTTCCCCTTGTGAACTGGAGGTGTTGCTGACCTTGAAAAAGAAGAAGAAAATCATCATTAATAAAATTATAAGGGTGTAAGCAGTGCAGTTTCTGTTGCCTTCCCTCTGCTGCTCTGTGGGGTGGTGGAGGAGCAGAGTGAAGATGGTGTATTTTGACGTTCGCGTGGTGCTGCTGCAGTAAAATGAGTCATCGTTCCTCTCTGCCACCACACAGCAGCTAGTGTGTGGTTTGGGCAAGAACGAGCAAAAGTTTGCAGGGCACAGTTCTTAATCAGCTGCTGCTAATTCCTTCTGTGTTCATCAAAAGGGGTGGCAGGGCCTCTCTCTATAAGGCTGTTAAAACTGCTAATGACTGATGCACTTGATGAGAGTACATGCAAACCAGAACGTAGTTTTTGATCAAGTCAGCTTCCCTTCACCACCCTGCACTGCTGCTCCAGAACCAAACAGAAACTTCCTAATTGCCCTCCATCAAACTAAGGAAACTGCTGTCCATTTTGTATGTCTTAAGCATTTGTCACTCGTTTATGGTTATAAAAGTGAATGTAAGGGAGGAGAGCTTTCATATAGAAATTCAGTATTCTTCACAGTAATTAGGAAGATGATGTCTTACTGCTCTAAGTTATGTAATTAGGTAAAACACCAAAGAGAGTCTATAACCTCCTTTCTTGTCATGCTGGGTCATTTCTTCTTGAGATAAATACAGTAGAAGATGGATCTGTGACATCTGTGTGCCATGCCATGCCTCCTACAGAAGGTTCTGTAAACTGTGCGTTAGTAAAAAACAAAGTGAGGTGAAGCAAGAAGACTGTTGGCTAAACATTTTGTGCAGAGTACATTTAAGAAATGTGTCTGAATGCTGAAGAGGGAAAGAAAAGGTTCTCCAAAACCAGCTTCCTCATTGTTCACTTGGCCTCCCACACTCAGAAATAGTAAGATCTCGTTGAAGGAGGTTAGTGGTAGTACCCTCATTTCTGAAGGAAGGCTTCTTCCTTCTGCAGCAGCTTTCTTTTGTAAGGTTTGCCTACAGTACCTTTCAGTTAAGATAATCACTCCACCTTTTAAATTTTCCACTCTGGATTATGTTTTAGGATACTAATTTCAAAGGCAAGCAACTAGATAGACTGCTGTAAAGGTGTTTTTCTACCTGTCTTGTAATGTAATAGCTTTCAAGATCTAAATGATGTTTTTCAGCACCACTGAGATTATCCATTACCCAGCAGCTATTGGTGTTAGAATCCTGCAGATTGGTTTGCAAAGGTTCTGATAACACTGATTATACATATAGCATGAGGTACAAATACTGTTTGTGGAAATAGGATCAAATAGTGCAGTTAGAAATGTGTGATCACTGCATTTGTTTTGGGTGAGTATTTGCATGGATACGTTGTATGGTAATGCACAGAACTGGCAGTGAAACCAGCATTTTTTAGAGATAATTATATTTTTTTTATTGACTATGAATTTTCATTTCTTTTAAAATATCTATAAAGATATATACAGATAGGTGCACTACTTATGTTTCCAAGGTAAAGCATATTGAGAATTTAACTGTTTTGTTGCCTGAAAGTAATTTTAGGATTGACACATGGAAGTGAGGAAGGCAGTAAATTTTAAGTATTACTTTGTTCCTGAAATCCCTTGCAGTCATTTGATTCCCTAGTAGTTGCCTTTGCTGGGTTTGTGCCCGTGCTGAGGTTTGTGTGTGTGTGTGTTGGGTATACACATAGGAGAGCCTGACAGCAGTGAATTAGTCTAAAATACCAGAAAGAGTCTTAGCGTGAAAATAGAGGTTTAGGTTGTTTTTAACTTGCTTGATCTATATGATGCAGTTATAGTGTTCAGGTTTGTACTACTCCAAACACTGTATTGTATCCTACAGTAAATTAAGTTATCTGGCATCCTGGTGTATAGACAGAAGACTTTTAGAATTGAGATGAAGTGCTACTGCAGTGAAAATCTGACCTGACAGATTTTGCTTAGTGTTTTCTTCCAAGAAAAATTGGTATTTTGCCTTTCAAAAATAGCCTTTCTTTAGCCTTCCAAGAACATTGTTCTTCAGCCTTTCAAGTTTATAACTACAAAAGCTGTTTCCCTGTGAAAGGCTGTAGCCTGGGAATATCTGATGCATTTCTTGATTCTGTTTTTTTTTCTCAGTATCAGTCCTTGCTGACTGATTTCTGAATATTCTGTATGTTCTTAATTAGCAGAGAGTGAGGAAGAGGATGACAATGAAATGGAAGTTGAAGATCAAGATAATAAAGAAGCTGAGAAGCGAAACGTCATTAATTTTGATACCAGTTTGCCAACATCACATATGGTATGTATTTTATATACAGTCCATTAAATACACCTTGAAGAAGTTTTGATTGGTTTTGTGTAATTCTATTGTAATATCCTCAAGACAAAGACCTAGTTCTATTTTATCCTTGTAAATCACCAAAACCTCTTATACTACTCTTGCTTCCTTCCTTACTGTTCTCAGTATTTAGGTTCTGATATGGAAGAGTTTCATGGCAGGACAGTGCATGACGATGACAGCTGTCAGGTGATTCCAGTGCTGCCCCATGTGATGGTGATGTTGATTCCTGGACAGACATTACCTCTTCAGCTTTTTCACCCTCAAGAGGTTAGCATGGTGCGGAATTTAATTCAGAAAGACAGAACATTTGCTGTTCTTGCATACAGGTAAAATACACGAGTGGGTTTACTGATGCTATGTGGCATGTATTTTTAGCACAATTCCTTTGGATACTAAATGAAAAGCAGATGGTTGCATCAGTTCCATGGTGAATAATAGAAGCTGTGTTTTGAAATTGACAGAACTTGTCTTCCAGTTTGTAACGAAAACAGTTTTCCAGTTTTCATGTTATTCTGCTTGACAGTATCATGTGTGTAGAGAAACAGTTTATTTGCTTTCCTTGTTCAATTTCAGTAACTCCTTGAATGTGCTGCTCCATCTTGCTTATTAAGTCTTGATCTGAAATGTAAAAATCAGATTCTTGTTTTGAGAACTGCATTGTTGTAAAGGTGTATTTGCTTGGTTTGTATGTAAATCAACAAGCCCAAACAGGAGTTTCATGACAGAGTTGAGAGACATGAGTTGATAGAAAATTGGAAAAGATAAAGGCTAATCTGTGCCAAAAGAAGTAGGGAATGTATCTCCCTCTCCTCTCTGCAATTTACTATGGTTTAGTTATGTAGGAGGTGGGAACAGTTATTTCTAAAATCAATCTAAAAATTTTGGTAGTTCCAGTATCTGTATTTGAAATGCACATACATTGGCAATCCCTGTCTTCCCAGTATTTCACCTCTAGACTCTAAAATAAAACCAAGCCAACTGGTAAATGCCCCCCCCCACATAAAATATTAGAAGTTGTTTTTAAAATGAAAAACTAAAGATTGTGGTTACTTGAAGTTATTTCACCAAATTTACTTTTTTGGTAAGACTAATGTGTACAGTCAGTGCAGGTACAATAAGTGAAATCTAAGTGAACAGTGCTGTTCGGGGGATAGGTAACCTTCTTAATTCTGTTACTTCTAGTAATGTACATGAAAGAGAAGCTCATTTTGGAACCACAGCGGAAATATATGCCTACAGAGAAGAGCAGGAATATGGAATTGAGACAGTCAAAGTGAAAGCAATAGGAAGACAGAGGTTCAAGGTGCTTGAAATAAGAACCCAATCGGATGGGTAAGAAAATTACATATTTAATTCTACATACTGCAAATCTTGTTTCACCAAAACATTTACATTTTACTGCAGGTGCATCTGCGCTTCCAGTAACGCAGTTGACTAATTGCTGCGGGTATTAAATGAATGCTTAATCAGTAGCTTCTCTGGTTATTAAGGACTTCTGACATTTCCTGTTCCAAGACTCATGTTTTAGTTGTTGGTAATTCTGCAATAAAATCCTCCAAAGCATATCTACCTGTAATTTGATTTGGTGTGTGTGAGAATATACCTGTCAGAATGACTTTATTTCTGAAAATTAAGTCAGGAAAAAGATGTTGATTGGTCAGCATTTTAAGTTCTAAAGCTTTATTCCATAATCTCTCACATCCCTTTTCCAAACCAGATGTGAAATGAGAGGATATGATACCAAGTGTGTGCTTTCTGCTGTCTTGTGGAAAGCGTCCCTGATAGCGACCAGATTCTGTTCTTTTGAAAAATTGTAACTTTCGTTTTCTGAAGGGAGACCTTTCTAGAGGTGGTCTGCATTTAACATGTTCCACTTCTGAACTTTGTATGTAATTGCAGCTTTGAAAGGCTGCAGGCAAGGGTCTGGCACAACAGTTAATAACATCCTTGCCTATTTTTATTCTTTGAGTGATCTTTTAACTCCTGAGCCTTGACAGCATGCAGAAGGATTCAGCTGTATGATTTAGATATGGAGGGGACAGTAGCTGTGCCCACAGGGGTGGTGATTTGCATGAGAAGTTTCCCCTGAAAGGAGAAGACAAAAGTCTGGTAATAATAGTGGAGAAACAAGTTTCTCCTCTTAATTTTTTCCTTTGTAAAACATAAAAGCACACTCAGATGTGCAGATAAATATTTGAATACGAAAATAGGTTCTTGATTTTTGCTGACTACAATCAGCCCATTGCTTTCAGTTTCTCAGATACTAAATCTTGTTTATTTCAACTGTTGTCACGGTTTAGGATGTCCTTCAGCACTGATTCTTCACTGCTAGAAATATGCCACTTCTACTGTTACTGGTTGACAGTTTTCATGTACTTGTCAAACACACTTAAATCAGCTCTGATAGAGTTCTCTTCTGTATTGTAGTTCTGTTGTTTTCCATATTCCAGTATGATACCTGTGATACTTAAAGCTCCTCTTCTAGCCAGTTTTAGTGTATTATGTAATTTATACCTTTGTCCATTTATGAAGTGACTAAGATCTTTAATATTTAGTGAAGAGTATGTTGAGTCTTCTGTCATTTTCATGTTCTTCTTGACATTATCCTTTGCACTATGAATTGCATCGTGAGGTTCTGCCAGTGTCACTGTCCAGAGATATATGCTTCAGACACTGGTCCTGCGAGTATGTGACTTTTCTTAGTACAATTGCTAGGGGTTTTGTAATCTTTTCTGCAGGGCCTCTTAACATCTTACTCCAAATCTGTAAATCTGCTCATCTTCTCACTTCTGCTATTGCTTGGTATAGAGGCATTGCTTAGTGGCATAGTGCTTTTATGGCAGGGGGGTTGGAACTAGATGATCTTAAGGTCCTTTCCAAGCCTAACCATTCTGTGATTCTATAGGAACAGCCTAAACTCAGTGTTTTTGTATGCTTCTATGACCTGAAGCTGTAGAAATGAAGAATAGCTACTTGCTATTTCTCACTATCTAACATTTGCTTACAAGTAATATCCTCCAAATTTTACATCTTAGAAAAACCATTTCTTGAACACAAGATGGCAGTACTTGGACGACTACAGTTAACACCATCATTATTGAGAATTCAGTATCCAGAACCACCTAAGATGTGCAGTGATGTTGTTGTGCTGTTAAAGGATTTTATTGTGATGATTTTATATCCATGGACTAGCAGAGTTCACTTTTACACAGCATGTTCACAAGGTTCATTCATAAATGTGAATTTTTAACTTAATGAAATAAAGGGAATGAGATTAATTTTAGACTGAGAGCTCAGTTGTTCAGCCTGAAGAAGGCTCCCTCCAGGAAGACCTTAGAGCAGTTCCCAGTGCCTAAAGGGGCTGACAAGAAAGCTTGGAGAAGGACTTTTAGATAAAAATCCTTTCTGATAAAGAGGGGAAAATACTGAACTTCTTAGCAAGGAGAAAATTTCTATGGTTCTTGGTGTTCCCAGTTACTAAGTGCTCATGATAAAACATCATTTTAAAGTCTACAGTAAGTTAACAGAGTTCACTGTAGTCCCTGTAAGTAAAACAGGATATTTGTGATAATGTGCATCTCAGCATTTCAGGATTTCTGATGCATAATACTGTTAAAATGTAAAGTCCTTCCTGCTAGACAGTATTTTTAGGAGCCACATAACTGTTGCTGAACTCTTTGTGGAATAGGTGACCTGGTTGATGCTAGGATATTAAAGGATGATCAGAGTCTGTATCCTATTTCTGCTGATTTTGAACCCTAGCTAAGCACATTTGCTTTTGTGGTTTGAAGATAGCAAACTGCATTTCAGCTAAACTTCCTTTCTGAGGATTTGATATGTAATTGCTGACTATTAGTTTCTACCAAAAGTAACTTGAGGAGACAAAACTCTAAATACACAATGCTGAGATGGTAAAATATTCTGCTGGGTTGCCACTGCCAGTCTGTCTTTAATCTGTCCACCACAATCACGACAGGTATCTAGTGCTCTAAAATAGGTAGCCTGTTGTATGTCATGGAAAAGGTGGCTAACTGTGAAAAGGGATGAAAAAAACTAGCAAAGAAACTTCTGCTGAAAATGTTAAAGCAGTGATCTTTGTAGGGTTCTGTCTGCCAGTGTTGAAAATATGTAGACGTCGGCTAATTGTTTTTTTAAAGGAGAAGTAAAAATAAGGATTGCTTCTGTCTTCAATTTACGTAGACCAAAGTCCAGTCAGCACAGTGGCTTTAATAATTTAGCCAAGGGTGTGAGATTATCTGTGTTCTGGAAGAGTATGCATTTGGTTTGTTACAGATGTGCTGGATGTTCCTTAAGGTAATTTGGTTTACATTAGCATGACTTTAAAAATCTGATTAAATGAATTGCTGCTTAAATTCTATAGTGCTATATAATGATTAATCTATTACACAAGCCTATGGTTTTATAAGAAGTAAAATACTTTTTCCAACTCTTGTATAAGTGTGTATATGTTGTCTCTTTTATCAGAATCCAGCAGGCTAAAGTACAAATACTTCCTGAACGAGTGCTGCCTTCAACAATGGCAGCAGTACAGCTGCAGTCTCTCAGCCGATGCCATATATTTCCATCTTCGAAACCTACATCATGGCAGGACCGATCTATACAGCAGTGGTGGCAGAAATACCAAAAGGTTAGAATCTGGTTGTGGGGATCTTGATTTTGCTGTTTTGATGTTGTTTTGACAAGCAGTATGAAAGTCCATCTGTTCATCTTTAGAGGAGGTTGTGCAACTGGGATGCTAGATGCCAACCTCCTGCTTTTGTTGCTTATTGTGTGATTGTTTATCAGCCATCAGTAGCGGGGAAGTACGTGTTTTGTATTTTGAGGTCTCTGGTTTTAATTACAGTACCATTAGATTAATATTATCACATAATGATGTAATACTACAATTTTTTTTTTAATGTAATCAAACACCTCAGAGTTCTGGTTGGTAAAGCTTGTAGATAATGAAGTGGTGGTGGAAAAAAACACTAAGTTTATAGGATTTCATTTTTAGGCAGGTGAAAGAAGCATCTTCACTTCTACAGACTTTGCTTGGACAATAAAAGTACTAGTAATCAGTGTTAACAGTGCCAGTGCTCTTGCTTTGTACTTGTCATCATAATGGTTTGAATTTGAAAGTAAAAAGGCTTTTGTAACTTCTTCTGTTAATTGCTTGATTTGGGTAGAAGAGGTGTTTAAAGAGCAGAGGTGGTTTAGAGGTGACTCCTAAATTTCAGTGATGAAACAAAAGACCCATGATGCCTTAGTTGTTTGGAAACAGAATTCCATTTGCTAATTTTGCTTTAAAACCTCCATCAGTCAAAGGTTTGACTTCTGTACCTGCAGTTACATGTCTGTAAAAAACATGGGTCTGTGTTACAATGACAGACTCAAGGGGTTTTTAACCCTGTTAAATATTCCCACCCAGATGGTAGTTAGCTGACAACTAGGCTGTACTTCCTAGTTTCGAGCATATTTGATGTTGCACTTTCATCTTGTAAATTATCATATAACATACATCTAAAGTTCTTTTGTGCTTAGTCATTACCTTTGTCAGATCACAACACTTCCATACAATCCATTTATCCTGGCCAACTGCACATGTATTTCTAAATCTGGTTTTTGATTTATTTGTATTTTTTTAACACCTTTACCTTATGGAATAGTTAATATGTAATCCCCCTTATCCCACTTCCCCTTTTTTTCTCTTAACTGAATTTATAAACTTCCTTAAGTCTTGTTGTGGTACTAAATGTGATAAGATAGGAAAGGGTCATAGAAATCTTCTTTTTTCATGAACTCTGCATATGCTGACATAGTAGTTATTAGTGGTAGATGGTGCTTTTACACAGAGTGGGTGAATTAGCAGTTCCATAGTCTTATTTGTTTTATTTCCTAGAGCTTTTTCAATAAATATGCAGACTTTGCACTTCTTTAGAGAGCTTCCAGAAATTTATTTACTTGACTCTGGTTAAAACAAAAGTATGGGAGAAATACTCATTATCAAGATGTTGGTATTGTCATTAGGGAATTGCCTTGTACTTCCCCATTTTGCTTCACTGGCACAAATTCTGCCTTGCTTGTTTACAGTGTTTCTGTATCGCTGCAGCTGTGGCAGTACTTGGAATCAGGAGGGAATTCACACTAAGATTGTAGGGCAGGATTTTCAAGAGTCCTAAGTGGCTGATGGCAGGCCTAAGCTACAAACTTGTGCATTGCTCAGGAGAATAATAAGGTGTGATTTGTGCTAGAGACAGCTGTGCTGTTTAAAAGGTGCTAAAAGATGCCTTTATACAAATGAATGTGCACTTTTACCAGTATACAGCCTTTTCCTTTAGGAGTCTGAAATAAAAACGTACTGTCAAAAGGATAATTTTGCTGGAATAAATTATGTTTCCCCATAATAAGCGCCATGCTAGAGTAGCATCCTAGCATAGATATACCAGCAAAAGCCTCTAAGGGTACAAACCTAGCTCAGTCTCAGGCACAGTGCAGGCTTTTCAAAGACCAGCTATCATTAATAGTGGACAGATCTGCACGATAAGGTTAATGGGCCAGCAGTTGGCAGTGGGGTCAGTAGGAGAGGATGTGGTGAAACAGGTGCTTTTCTAAATACTAAAATTGTGGCTTATGAGTTTATTTATATAACTTTTTATTACTCAACCCACAGTTTCCATCAGTATATAAAAAGAAAGATACTTTGAAGTCTTCTGTGTCAGTAGAGATCTTTGGAACTACCTCCAGAAATTAATATAGCATCCTAGTAACTCCCCTTACTGTCAGATGCAGTTAAGGTTTGGAGCTGGGTTTTTAATTCAGTGGATTTGAACTCCCTCCTCCCCCCCCAAAAAGTAAAGAAAAAAACAACCAAACAAACCATTAATACCACAGAACTATTGATTCTCAGAGCTATTGAACAAGTTCATTTATGAGTTAACTGTCCAGAAACACTGTGCTTGGGGAGGGGGGAGTATTCCCTTTCCAAGTCTGGTTCCATCAGATGGTACCTGAGATGCAGTACTCCCAATGTAAGATCATGTTTTATGGACTGATATGCAGATCCAGAGTAGGGTCATTGTCCTGTTGAACTCTTGTCCTGTCAGTAGAACTGACTGTTCACAATATGTTAGTTAGGCTGTGCCTCTGTTTACTAATATAATGAGAAACATCAGAAAGTGGAAGTTGCATTTTAAGAATGCTTTCTGCTTCATACAAGAGCTGACCCTGTGTCAGCTGTTACAGAAAGTATATTTGCTAATTGGAACAATAACTTGAGTTTCAGTGTTCCAGAATTCTTTCTTCAAAGTACCATTTATTTGCCGTGGATTTAAGCATTGCCTGTTTTTTCTCATTTGTAAAGTAAGGGTAGTTGACCTCAAAGGGAAAATGAAGTTTTAATGTGTAAATATTTACAGTACAGTTTTGGAAGGCACTGTGTTATGTAGTATGCATTGTTTTAGATTTCTATTAACCTAAACATATACATTTAAGTGTATAAAGTCACAGTAGAGAATTAAGTAAGCAAATTACCTTACACTGCTGGAAATCTGGTAGTTATGAAATGCATAAAACTAGGATTTCTTGTCTGCAGGATAAGCACAAGCTGAAGACTTTTTAGAAGTGATACTGGTGGCCATGTGTATTTTATTCCTCCAAATCTGCTCTGTAGTCTTGTATATATGTTTTTGTACACAATTCAAGTGAACATTTTAGTCCCAGTGAAGTATGGTACAGAAGCATGGGCCACTTCTATTTTAATTTTAAAACAAAACCATTCAATAAGGGATAGTTATGAGATCTTCAGGGGATATTTTTCACCCCTGTTATTTTTATTTTCTTCCTTCACATTTGTTTCTTACTGAGTGCTCCATTTGGGTCTGAATTTTTCTTCATAGGATGTTGTTAAATAGATATTGTACAATATTTGCTCACTATCTGTAGATAAGGATAATAAAGTTGCTTAATAGTTTCCAGTAGGCTGGTTATAAGCATTGATGTTCAGTAAGCGTTTCTGAAAATGTGATTTCCATTAAAAATAGAGACCAGAGAGTGGAGAGTGATACAAGATTAAACATCAAGACTGCCCAAGTTTTCTTAGCCAGTAATTGTTCTGCTGTGAGAAAGCGTCCTCCAGAACTCCTAACTTGTGTGGTGGTACTTATACTTATGTTTTTAACTGATTAGATTTCCATTTAAAAAATGTCATCATATGTCCTTTGCATTTATATATGTCAGCTTAAAATACCCAATACATTTGTTGACATCATCTACCTGGACTTGTGCAAAGCATTTGACACTGTCCCACACGACATCCGTGTCTCTAAATTGGAGAGACATCAGTTTGATGGATGGACCACTCGGTGGGTAAAGAACTGGCTGGATGGCCATACACAGAGTTGTGGTCAATGGCTCAATGTCCAGCTGGAGACCAGTAACGAGTGGTGTCCCTCAGGGATTGGTGTTGGGACCGGTCTTGTTTAACATCTTTGTCGCTGACATGGACAGTGGGATTGAGTGCGCCCTCAGCAAGTTTGCCGATGACACCAAGCTGTGTGGTTCGGTTGATACGCTGGAGGGAAGGAATGCCATCCAGAGGGACCTTGACACGCTTGTGAGGTGGGCTGATGCCAATCTCATGAAGTTTAACCATGCCAAGTGCAAGGTCCTACACCTGGGTTGGAGCAATCCCAGACACAGCTACAGGTTGAGCAGAGAAGAGATTCAGAGCAGCCCTGCGGAGAAGGACTTGGGGGTGTTGGTCGATGAGAAAATGAACATGAGCCGGCTTCAGCGTGCGCTTGCAGCCCAGAAAGCCAACCGTATCCTGGGCTGCATCAAAAGGAGCGTGACCAGCAGGTCGAAGGAGGTGATCCTGTCCCTCTACTCTGCTTTCATGAGGCCTCACTTGCGTGCAGTTCTGGTATCCTCAGCATAAGAAGGACGTGGAACTGTTGGAACAAGTCCAGAGGAGGGCCACGAGGATGATCAGGGGACTGGAGCACCTCCTGTATGAAGACAGGCTGAGAAAGTTGGGGCTGTTCAGCCTGGAGAAGAGAAGGCTGCGTGGAGACCTCATAGCAGCCTTCCAGTATCTGACGGGAGCCTATAGGGATGCTGGGGATGGACTCTTCATTAGGGACTGTAGTGGTAGGACAAGGAGTAATGGGTTCAAACTTAACCAGGGGAAGTTTAGATTGGATATAAGGAAGAAGTTCTTTACTGTAAGGGTGGTGAGTCACTGGAATGGGTTGCCCAGGGAAGTTGCGAATGCTCCATCCTGGTGGTGTTCAGGGCCAGGTTGGACAGAGCCTTGAGTGAGATGGTTTAGTGTGAGGTGTCCCTGCCCATGGCAGAAGGGTTGGAACCTGATGATCTTAAGGTCCTTTCCGACCCTAACTATTCTACGATTCTGTGATACGGCCTGTTAATCTCCTTATTTTATTTTATTTATTTATGCATTTGACTCATTTGATATAAATAGTTTAATCGCCCCCACGTGGTGGTTTGCTGTGGTTGCTAAAGTAGCAACAGTTGGAGACGAAGGAGCAGATGCACTATCTAATAGTACTTGAATTTTCTGAACTGTCTAAATTTTAGATAGATGCTCTTTTGAAAGGCATAATTTCTTATTACTAGATATTAGGAATACTTGTAATGCTGAGACAGGTTTTCTGGGGAAATCCATATATTGTCATTCTTGCACAGAAGCCTTAACTCTCAGTGAATTTGAAATGTGGTTTGGAAGCTTCACATTGAAGTACTCATCTTGATGGTGTTAATTTATAGTATCTTTAAATAATCAGGTATCCCTCCTGTGGTTTATTATTTGAGCAAGAACTGTCCCTAACATCTGCTAATCTGAAAGAATAAATATTTGTGGTTTTGGTTTTAGAGGAAGTTCCGCTGTGCAAGTTTGACATCTTGGCCTCCCTGGCTCTACTCTCTATATGATGCTGTAAGTTCACCCTATGTATTACCAAATAATCTACTATTAGTTTTGTATGTTTTAATATGTTATTATTGGATAATATAAAAGCTTTAATTTTGTTGGGTTATAAGTTACATTTTAAAGAAGTCCACAGTTTTCAGTTTATTGTGAAAGGAGCAGGAACAGCTACTCTTTTGTACTGTTCCCTTGTGCTAGAGCATGTGTCTATGGTGGATGACAGAGGTTCACGTTCCTGATATGTTGTCTCAGAATCAGTCCTCTGTCCCTCATGTTCCAGGTAAGTGTTCTAACAGCCAGGGTGCTGGATAGTCTTAGGTCTGTCTTTCCTGTTGAAGTTGCTTTACTCCTTAAAAAGTACATATTTCTTTATATACACATATATATATGTTAGTACATGAGGTACTTGGTGTAAGAGAGGCAGAAGTAAGTAGGAGGCTAGCCCCTCATCTTGTTTATACAGTCTAGAATTTGAGCAGTTGTCTCCTTATCTCAAATGAGACTTATAACTGTCATGGGCCATTGGTTCATTTTGCCCTCTTTCCCATCCTAGTTTCCTCTTAGTTTAAAACATGTAGATACAAAATGAGTCCGTCATTATTGTAAGTGTTAACAGCTAATGTCCACTTAGGGAAAATAGCTTACTCTACATTTTGCTTCCCTTTTTTTTTTTTTTTTCCTAAGAAAACAGAAATATCTATGTATTTAAATTAGGCTTTTCTTCTAACAAAAGGAAACCTTGATGGAAAGAGTCAAGAGGCAGCTACATGAATGGGATGAAAATCTTAAAGATGAATCTCTTCCAACAAACCCAATAGGTATGATGTTGTTGAGCTGATGAACTCATATCTGGGGTTTGGGTGTTAAGTTCCTAAGAAAACAAGGCTTAGATAATTACCTTCTGTTGTTAGTCCACCCCTCACTTTTACTTTCCAGTGAATTTTGATAGTTGACTTTGACAGAAGGATGACGGAGATTTTAAGGACATGAACATCCTCCGACTGTGCCACAACATGTTCAGTATAGGAAGTATAAGTCTTATTGTGCTCCATGGTGGGAGGAATGTGATATGTTTCATAAGGAAAGCCAAAAGCATACTAGCTTTTTAAAATTATTATTACATAAGTCTAAGTGTTAGTATGTAGAATCTCTTTGTTCTTACTTCTTATTGCCTCTTACGTAACATGGGGGAAAATAGCACCAGTAACCTAACCACAAAAAAGTTGGGTTCCAATTGCATGCTGCATTGGGGTTATGCCATAGTGAGTAGGTCTTTTCTCTCTGCAGGTCTCTAGGAGCTAGCAAGACACAAATTTCAGTTGAAGTCTTCCTAAGGGGAAAAGCATTCTCTTCTGTGTAGGCTCTCAGATGCTTAATGAAAGGCAGCCTTCAGTTAAAGTCAGATAAGAACCAAATGCAGGAAGTGCAAGCATAAAGAAAAACATTGGTGGTTGGAAATCTCAGTAATTCATTGCCGAAGTGGAAGTCTGTATAGTGTTCTCTGGGATCTGTTCTGGTTTTAGTATACATTACCTTACCAGCATTGCTGAGTCTCTGTCAGTGGTGATCTGGATTAGACAAATATCATAGAAGAGGATTTGTATGTGCATGATTCAGCCTTAGGGCAAAAGGATGCACTGAGATGACCTCTGAAAGTCTATTACAAACATAAGTTTTAGCCCTCTGTCTGTAACCGAGCAGAAGTAGTAGGGTTTATTGATTTATTTCTCTCTCTAATTCTAACAGGCCTGCTATTTTCTCATTTCTAGATTTTTCTTACAGAGTTGCTGCTTGCCTGCCGATTGATGATGCGTTGCGTATACAGTTGCTTAAAATAGGTAGTGCTGTTCAGCGACTCCGGTGTGAATTAGATATTATGAACAAAGTGAGTATTTTTTCTTTACTTGTCATTAAATTGTTCTCACAAAAAAAAAAAAAGGAATGACTGTTATAATGTATAACAAAAATGCATGAAATTTCTAAATGAGAGTTCTAGATAGTGAGTTTTGAGTGTTCTTTTATTTTTTTCATCTGCTTTAAAAGTTTGCTCTAGAAAGAAAACGCTCTCTCTCAGTACTAGACTTCATGTTTGTCAGCAAGCAAGCATATAATAATGTTTGCTTTTGTTAAAAACCCTATTTCAACACCTCACAGCACTTTTTTTAGCCAAGAGATGGTGCTAGAAGTCCAGCATTTCTCATGACCATCTTATGAACATCATAACCTCGTATTGTTCATAACCTTATGAACATCATAACAGCACAATACGCTGTGATCAAGTAGCATTGTGCCATGAAAATTTGTGGATTTTATAACAAAAGATAAATCTTCGTAGCATTGAGCTACTGAATATATGTAAATCTAAGTATTGGACTGAATGGATTTTTGCAAGACATTTATCATCTTCTTAGGCAATACCTTTTTAAGATGTTCAAAAACTTGTCTTCCCTTCCCTTCTCAATAATAATACCTATTATAAGTAATATTATGTATTATAACTGATAATGCAACTAAGTTTCAGTCAACCTCATGTTGAATCCGACTGTTCTGGGAACAGCATTTACAACAGTCTCCCACAGCAGTTCAGGTGGTTGTTCTCTTTCCAAAGAGAAAACACTGAAAAGAGCCATTGGTGTAAAAACAACTTCTAACTGTAAAGTTGTTTATGGGTTTAGTAGTGGTAACTGGAATATTTACTAATCAGTTCTTGAAAGGAGAGACAAATTAGTATTTTGTTAATATGTTCACCTTGCAAAGAATAACTATACATCCTGATGGTATACATCCTGATCCTTACCTTGCTGGTTGTAAGCTTGGTGGGGATAAAAGTAGTGTCTTAAGAAAACAGTGTAACACTGTTGTGTTTGTCCACTTGATATGAGCATTGGAAATTTTGCCTCTTTGCCTGTTTCTGGGGCAGAGAGAACCAGAATAACATTTTAGTACTGTTCATCTTCCCAGAGTTCATGCACCAAAATTCTAAAAGGGAATATACAGTGAAAAGGAAACAGAAAACATTGCTCCCAAATTCTGAGACAAAAATGGACAGGATTTTGCATGAGGCTCTGTGATCAGATTAAGTTTCATTGTATTTCTTGAGTCAGAAACTCTGAAAATATTGTGATATTCAGGTACTGCTAAGGGCTGTTCGTGTTCAGTATGTTGCATATTTTCTACAAATCCCAAAGAGACAAGAGGACTTAGGTTACCTTCATAAGATAATGTTAATTTTTTTACCCTACACCAAAAAGGTGCTTTCTTCATCAAGATGTGACATTTTATTCTGTAAACATAGAATCATAGAATAGTTAGGGTTGGGAAGGACCTTAAGATCATGTATTTTGGTTTACTTGAGAAGGCTGGACTTAACACGTTTCATTGTTCAGAATGTAATTTACAGTGATATAACGGATGGTGAGACCTAATGCATTTCCTTTTGTCTCTTATATCAGTGAATTTTATTATGCCTTTAATAGCTTTTCCTGTTATTAAAGATGGTTAACTGTACTTATTTTTAAAGGAATGTACATCACATAAAGGTGTAATACTTCTCTGAATTCTGCTTGACAGTGCTAATTGTAGTAATTAGATAGGATTGGAAACAGAGGGATGAGATGAAGTAGCTGACTAAATCGGATACTGAGGGATATATGAGCATTAGATTATAATCTGTGAGTATGGGTAATTTAAAAGAGTGAGTGACAGTAAGTGTTAAAGGTCCCTGGCAGGACAGAAAGGCCAAGTGAGCTTTAAGAAGAGAACTGGCACATGATAAATCCTATCTGTATAGTATAGCAATTTTCCCTATCAGTCTCCAAGATGAGTAGACTGTACTGACACTGTGGGGCAGAACCAAGGTTGCATGCAAAAAAGCAGCTGGAGGAAGTTGAAATGCAGCAGCAAGTCCAGAGCACCTGTATAGAGGAGAGAGAAGAGACTGACATAAGCCGGTGTAGTATCACATGAAGATTGCAGGAGTTGGAACTCAGGGATACTCAAAAGCACAAGCTGCGATTTGTGGCTTTAAGAGGATGTAAGCTCACACAGGGACTTACCCAAGTGAAGATCCTGGTTCCAAAGTACAGTGGTTCATTTCTGGGGTAATTTCACATGCATTACCAATAAAAAGAGGTAGGTGTAATACACCTCCTGAAAAGGAATGCTTATGTTCTCCTGAGCTCATTTAAGTGCGTATTTTCTGGGCAGTGTCAGTGAGGAATTGTTTTGTTCTACTATCTAGAAATTGTAGAAGATAATCAGTTACAATCTTTAAGAGAAAGATCAATACATCTCGTATTTTTCATGAGGAAATTGAAGCCATTGATCTACAGTACTCTCAAATTTTAGAAAGACCTAGTGATTGCATTTGTACTCATCTACCCTTTCTGGGTGGTATTTTAGAAGAGCAAAAGGTTTTTTTTCTGAATTAGCTTTTTGAGACCTTAGAAGGTTGACTCATTTATTGTGTTTGTGTAGTCAGATGCTCTTCTGCGTGTGGATTTTTTGAGGGACAGGGGAGTATACAAAAATTGGTTTGGCTTTTAGATAACAATGCTTACCATAACTAAGTAAAATGCATAGAGAAAAAGGTATCCTTTGATAGAAAACGTAAGTGACTGCTGTCCAGGTAAAGAAAAGAATTGATACAAAGTGTGTTCTGAGGAACGGAAGAGACATTTTCAGTATTTGCTGCTGTGCTGCCAAGCCTCTGCAAATGAATGAAATTACCCTCTTTGTTTTTCTTTTCAAGTGTACATCTCTCTGTTGTAAGCAATGCCAAGATACAGAAATAACTACCAAGAATGAAATATTCAGGTGAGTGTATTGCTCTTAATCTTTGGAAGGTTTTTGATCAGAAACATGGACACAGGAAAACAGATTAGGTTATGTCTTATAACTGCTGTGTTTTCCACAGCTCTAATAAAATGTCAGTAAATATTTATAGGGCGTTTTCTTTATAAAACAAAACAGGTTACTTTGGTGGTTTTTAATCAAAAGGTTGTAAATCTGAGCACCACCGCGTATATTGTAACAGAAGTTAGTGTGCAAGGAAGGCCATGTTATGCCTCTTACTCCAGCACTTCACCACTGAAGAATTATGCACTCTCTGCCAAGTTTTGAAACACAGATATTTTACACAGTTTTTTTGTCCTATTATTTCTGAGTAAAGTTCGTGACATCCCAAATTTTATTTCTCGGCACTTCATCCTGACCTCTGTGTGTCAACAGGCCTCAACAGATTAAAATGCACTGACAGGTTGGTATAGATAGATAGGCTCCCAGGATGTTGTCATCTAAGGAAATTGCCTATTTATGTCATTAAACACTGTGATACCATTCTTTAGTTTAAGAATATAAAGTTTAGTCCTAGTAGCTCCTCTAGGCGTTATGTACCCATAATATATTTGACTTACACAATATCTTTCATGTTCAACAATGATAAGACTGTATACATTTTCCAAATAATTGCTGCTTCTGGCAGTCTTGACACTTTTTTCATCTTGAGTGACTAATATCTGTCTGTGATCTGTGATAATGAAGGTTAAAAGAAGTTTTGATTTACAAAGCAAGACTCCCCACAGTTTTATCAGTGCACTAAGAAGCTGATGTAGTAATTAAAAGCCATCTCATATCTTCTAATCAAATAATGGATTCCAGAAACCATGATTCCTGCTATGTCAATACCATGTACTTTAAACAAGAATGTTGAGAATGAGTGAACATTTTTGCTTACTTTCAAAGTTAGATTTAAAAGTAGCAGCATAGATGTTAGTTGGTTTTATTGGAAGTTCAAAAGCAGCAAGAAAGTCTATCATGAGTCTGTCATGTGCTTTTTTATACCAAGCAGTAGGTTTTGTGAGGGAAATATTAACAGCAGCCTTAAATGAGGTAGTTTCCACAGCATCCCCCAAGTGACTTGTCCCCTTTAACATACACCTGAGTGAGATTCATCTGAGCACAAGAAAGTTTTAATCCTTACTCCCAGTAATACCCTTATAAATATCTTTTCTGAAATAGGGACTTAAAAAGTAGAGACTTCAGGTAAACAGGAAAAAAAAAGCCTTTAGGTAACAGGAATAATTTATTGTCAGTGAGGAATATATGACTGGACACTGAAATTTGTGCAATATTAAGAAAATTTGACCAATTATATTTTACATTAGTATCTATTTTCTTTCAATTTTTAATAATATAATAAAAGGTGCTTCTCTTCCTACAGCCTAAAATGGTTCTTTTGCTGTGGAAGGTAGTTTTGAGCATGGTTGGCAGTTCTTCCTCTGTTTCCATTTGACAGCCTTTGTTTTTTGTTTCTTCCTTGACTTCTGACAAAATTAATTGTCTGTTCTAGTTTATCCTTATGTGGACCCATGGCAGCATACGTGAATCCTCATGGGTACATCCATGAAACCCTCACTGTATATAAAGCCTGCAATTTGAATCTCAGTGGACGACCATCGACAGAGCACAGTTGGTTTCCTGGGTAATAACAGTTAAAAGAAATGTTATAAGTAAATGACAGAAATCTGGTTATAAATGTATTCCTGTGATAGTGGAATAGTAAATACATAGATTTTGAAACACAGAACATCATTTCACTCATATGAAATACAGGAAAGTAAATTTAGACTTCTTCAAAATACAGAAAAAAATGGAAAATTCAGATAGAAGGTTTCTTTAATTTCAGAAGTTTTCTTTAATCTTTTAAAAATAGGGAAGTCAGAAGATGCTGTTTGGGGGTTTCTTTGTGTACAGTTTTGTGTAAGCTAGAAGCCAAATCACTGTTGTTTTCACACAGCTGTCTTTGATCATAAGGTAAATAAAGTACAAATTAAAAATGGAATATATAAATGCAGTTACTCTACTGAAACACTTTTTTTAGATCTAGAAACTGAGTGTTTCATGAGTTTAATTTACTGACATTCATATTAATCTGATTACCTTTGATATTTATTTAATTAGCCTGGCTGTCTGAAACAGTAGCAGAATTAACTGTCAAGATGTAAAAGATTGCCTAGTAATGACAGGTCTTGCATCAAAATGTCACCCCTCTCTTGTAGCTTAAATTTAATGCGTGGCTAGATGAGCATTCTTTATGTGTTCATTCAAAAGTTGGAATATTTAACTCTTAAAAATACATGAAATGTCCAACTCTGAACTTCAGTTTCACAAAAAAAAAAAAGCACTCTTTAAATATATTTTCACCAAATCATTTTTCTGTGTGGTCATTTCTGTGTCAAGAGTGTCAAAAATGATTCTGGCCCCTTGGCGATCGTGTCCTCTTCTAAAGTAGCAGAGAAGAATATGTTGCTGTATCTGTCTAGTCCAAGGTTCTTGACTGATGCTTGTACACAGTTACTCTTCTGTTTTCTTGTGTTGATCATGGTTTGTGTTTCAGTTTTTGTCTGGATTAGGATCATAGAATAGTTAGGGTTGGAAAGGACCTTAAGATCATCTGGTTCCAACCCCCCTGCCATTGGGTAATGACTTGGAGAGTGTATATCATACCTGTACTCTTTAAGGCTTCCTGAAGAAAACCTGTGGCTTATAACATCTGGAGTTATTTTTTCTCATCCTGATGTGTTTTCTCAGCTCTTTTCTTCCTTGAGTCCCAAAGTTTCTTTGAAAACCCATCTTGACACTAGTGGTACCTTCTTACCTGATGGGTGAACTGTGTTCCGGTGTTTTACATGCTAGCATCAACCTTTTGTTTTGTTTTTGATAGGTATGCCTGGACTATAGCCCAATGCAGGATCTGTGGGAGCCATATGGGCTGGAAGTTCACAGCTACCAAAAAGGATATGTCACCTCAGAAATTCTGGGGATTGACAAGGTCTGCTCTCCTGCCTCGTATTCCAGAAGCGGATGAAGACTCGGGCCACGATAGATCACCGTTACTCTGCCTGTAATCCAGTAGTCTGCTTTGGAGATGAACAGGCAGTAGTCTGTCTCTTAAATGTGTCTGCTCAGTTCTGCTTCTGATGCTTACTTGAACTTAAAACAACCCAAGAACACACACCCACACACAGAAGAACAACCAACCAAGCAGGCTCCCTATATTTGGGTCTGGTGTGCATCCACATTACTGTTGTTCCAGACACAATGAGAACTGAAGGTTGAATCTTAAAAATGTCAGATGAGGAGGTGGGATGGGACACCAAGGAATCTATAGGATCTCTCTGGACAGAACTGAGACTGAACTTTATCCTTTCTTGTGGCACTTCAGAAAATGTTTACTGCTATCAATTTGCAGTGAAAGAAGCTGGGGGGGGGGGAACAAAAATCACAAATAGAGTATAATTTATGCAATATATGTATGAAGGTAGACACCAGTTACTTGCTGCGGAGTGTTTTCCATAATATACTTTAAAGTATTTTTGCTGAGAATCCCTGTTTCTAACTGTGGAGTACTTCAAATTTTATGCTTGTGCTGTTTCTCAGATAGTTGCAGAATAACTATTGAAGAGAGTACAGGACTGAAGTATCTCTTCTGGCTGATACAGTGTGGAAACATCAGTGGCAGCGCTGAAATGGGCAAAAGCAAGAGTTTCTGCTGCCTGCAGTGCGGGTTGCCCTTTGGAAGGAAGCAGTGTGAAGTATTTGGTCCTTACAAGTTGTCTGATCTATTTAGTCTATTTGACTTTAGAAGTCTTTAAAATTTTATACAGAATATACAGGTCAGTCCCAGAGCATAAACTGTGTTGTCATTTACTGTTCAGTGTGCTTACATTTACTTCTCAGAATGATCTCTGATCATATTTCCCAGCAAACATGTCCAAGGTTCTGTGCAGTACTTGCTGAAATACATGACAAGGAGAAGGCAACATATGATTTTTCATTTTACACTTCCATATCATAAAGTAAAATTCAACATTATCACCCTTACCTGACACAGAGCAAATGTTTTTAAATAAAACAGAAGTTTAAGGCAGTGTTGGGAGAGGGTGTGTGTTTTGTGTTGGGTTTTTTTGGGTTGCTGGTTTTTTTGGTCTGAAGTGCTGTCTGTGCTACAGAATCAGGTGCCAAAATGGGGCAGCTTTTGCCATTGACTTACTGGGGATATTTTTCCCCTCACAGTGCACTTTGGTGATGGAAACTGCAGATCTCTTCAGTATGTTTGTGTACATTCACCCTTGGTTTTTCTTTTGAAGCTTTCTCATTCACTCTGTTTCTTCACACTAAATCTTGGAGAGATTAAGTATGACAGGGAGCTACTTAAGACGTAAGACTGCAGCCACCAGTTGCTCACTCTCAGTGGCGCCCCTGCACCACACATACGTAGTAGCATGGACAGATGACTTCAGGGAAAGGCCAGGTCAGAGCTCTGCGGGGCAAGGAGCGGATTTCAGTGGCAGTGGGTACCTGCTGCAGCGCAGCTAAAATGATACCCTGTGCAAAAAACTGAGGGATGCTGAGAGGCTGTTGGGGCTCTTTATCATGCTAGGTATGTAGAGACTAATGATTGTGTAACTCAGGTGTAGTTCTTCGAAGCCTTCTACCTCTGTGCTTCTGTGATAACTTTTGTTCTCTCCATCGATGTCTTTAGTGCCGTATTTAATTTTGTGTGCAGTGCTCTGACTTGCCAGTGAACTGTGAAAAGCAATACTTCTGTGAATTTAATTCTGAACAAATAGGGGGTGAATGGTGGTCCATTTTTGTCAAGAAAACATTCTGGGGGTTGGTTATGTTTCTGTAACAAGCTTTCAAAAGGCTGAAATGATAAGCACTAGTGTGAGAGTGAGACTGTGAAACCTCTGTACTTGGATAACCACTGAAATCATACTTAGCTTTCCCCTCACGCCCTGCACATGTACATACATTTACATGGAACATGCATGTGTGTGCCCACAGACACACAGCTGCAGGCTTGGCTTATTTTTTCCCTCCAAGACACATGATATCTGTTGTTCCCATTACCCTTAGTAGAGCTTGGTGGTGGCAAAAGGTTTGAGGGTGTTTAAAGTCACTTTGCTGCCATTTGATGCAAGTGTTCACTGAAGGTATGGTGGGTAAGGGTTTCAGAATGATTTTCAGAGCTATCCCTGAACTTCGTAAGGTCTTTGGGTTCTCGGTTGAATCTTTTGGATTGCCTCAACTACACATAGCATTATGGTGGCAATGTTTGAATACAAAATAGGTGTATTTTTGGTATTGTGTGTATATAGACAAATGTAAACTAATATAATTGAGGTAAGTCAGGAGTAAATTTAGCACTAATTTAATTTTACTGATGGTGCTGTTCCATTTGCCTAACCTTCTGTGTAGTAGTTGCCATTTCAAAGTCTGTGGCACTTTGCAGGTTGAAAACAAGTGTGATGCAGGTTGCTGCGAAGCTGATGAGTCCTGATGAGTTCACCATAGTGAAGCTGGCTGTTACAGTGCTACATGTGTAGGGATGCTCAAAGGTGACTAGCAGGATGTGGAGTCATGGATAGTTCTATACAGTGGTTATTAGTTTCTGCACTTTTTTCCTCCTTTTTGGAGAGAAAACCACTAGATTGAGATTGTGGAAAAGTTGCTGACAAATATGGTCTGGTCATCATATGCTTTTGAGAGCTAAATACAAAGGAACTGACATTTTATGATAAGTTACTGTACTTACTGAATTCATTGGTTGGCCTGTAGCTTCATGCATTAATCCGATTGACTCGCTGGCTGCTGCCAGAGGGGTAATTTTTCTCTTCCACTATAACCTTCATCTTTCTGCCATGAGCTCTATGAGGATTCCATGAGGAATTAGGCAGTTGCAGGGTTCTTGTCCTGGCTATGCAGCTGTGTCCACGTTTGGTCTGACAGGGGGAGGAGGGATATGTATAGAACCGCTCATTTTCAAGACATTGTCGCAATAGAAGAAAAGTTGTCATACAATCAGCCTGTAATATTGCGAGTTTTCCTATCTTTTAGGTTAGTTTTGGTGAATAGGTAGAACCACGTAGGACACTTGCACACTGGATTTAAGGCACATTCAAACACTGTTTTTTGATAATGCTATTTTTGTATGTGCTGCAGTTCATCTTGTTCCTTTCATCGTTTTGACACCTTTGTTTAATTGCTCTGTAAATGCTGTGGAAGGGGTAGCACGTTCTCCACTTTAACTCTTCCTCTGTCTGCCTTTTGAGACAACTTTTCAGACGAATCTTGTTGCTTGCAAGCATTTGCAAAGAATAAAATCCATTGTTTCAGAACTGATGGCTTTTTGCTGGTTGCTGGAATGGGAAGAAAAGGCGTGGGTTTACTTTGTGTTTTAAATGGATTAGCTTCAAAAAGTAATGTGTAAGCAGGAAGAGTTCCAGCTTCAAAGAATGTACTCAATGTAAGAGATGACATGGAGGGAGCATAGGTTGTCATTCTAGTGAGTAATCAAAATGAGACATCACATCCTTCATCTGAAGCTCTTTTCTCCATCTCATCTGTGTGCTTACTTGCTGTAATCCACCTGAGCAATTCTTAGCTTCAGTCCCACACTGTTTCCTTCTGTCTCATGATTTGACAATTTGATCATTCAATGATTTGATGGTTTGAGTGTTCTGTAGGATTTATTGAAGCTTACAAGAAAGATCACCCCCCTGAAAGCCCTGGCAGCACACTGGGTATCCGAAAACTTTGTCCAACTGTTACTGATTCCACAAATTATAAATGCTCTGAAATGGAAGTGTGATCTTACACAGCTGCTGTGACCTGAGCACTCTCCTGGAAAGGGCAAATAGAGCTTTCAGAGTACTTGGAGGACAAACTCCATTGGAGCATCGTGGCCCCTGTGTCCATATGGGCACAGTCTGAAGCTGATGCTCTGCACGCGATTTTCTTTCCCACTCAGAAACACCCTGAGCTCGGTGTGATGAGGAACAGAAGGGAGGTGGTGCCATCACAAACTGCTTAAGCCCTAATCCCTAGAGAAGTCCCTTGCAGTTAAGGAGTCATTTATGTCTGTACCGTATATGGAAGTAAAATAAGGATTCACATCCTGCTTTTATGTTCAGGCAGATGGGTGAGCATTTTTTTTATATTTATTTTGTTATTCTTTATTTAATGATTTTCTTATCTAAATATAATTAACATAAATTATTAAAATGTATAAAAGATATATGTACATTCACATTCTGTTCTGATTTCACATGCTGGGGGGCGGGGCTCTTCATTCTCATTTTTTTTCTCTGTCTTCTCTTTTTCTCTTTATTCTTTCCCTTTCTGTTTTTCTTCCTCTTTCTCATTCACTCTTTAGCTGTCTTTTTCTCTCTTTCTTTACTTTCTCTTCCTTTCTTTTTCTCCTCTTTTTCTCCTCTTTCTCCTCTTTTTCTTTGTTGTTCTATCTTTCTCTATTACTTCTTTCTCCCTTTCCCTCCCTTTCTCTTCTTTTCTCTCTCCTCTTTCTTCTCTCCCTTCTTCTTCTTCCCCTTTTCTCTCTTGCTCTTTCTTTCTTCTCTCTCTTCTCTCTTCTGTCTTTCCCTTTCTTTTACACTTTCTCTTCCTTTTTTGCTTTCACTTTCTCTTCCATTTTTCTTCTTTCTTTCTCCTCCTCACCTCTCCTCCTATCTTCTCTTTCCTCTTCTTCTCTTTCTTCTTTCTCCTCTATTTCGATTTCTTTTCACATGCAGGCGGGGGGGGGGTTCACTCTGCGGAACACCACCATTTTTAGCCTAGTCTAGTCTAGTCTATTGACAAGCTTACAGAACCCCGGATGGTCTTCTGCTCCACAAGATTCCATTCTATTCTACCCTAATAACAGGCCTGTGAAACTCCACACAAACTGTTGTCTCAGGACACTTCTAGTCTCGTCTCTTCTATTCTAGTCTACCCACATGTCCCAGAACATTCCATTCTATTCTATTCCAATAATGAGTGTGTGAAGCCTTGATCAAGCTTCTGTACATTGACATTCTATTCTATTCTAGTAACAGGCCTGTGATGTGCCACACAAACCACTGTTGCAGGACAACCCATTCTATTCTATTCTGCTCTATTCAATTCTATTCTATTAGTGGGAGAGTGTGGAGGCACACAAGTTGCACTGCAGACTATTCTGTTGACAGGAAACGTGGAGATTGCACGCGTTTTGCTAACAAATAGTCTATTCTATTCTGTTAACAAGAAACACTGAGACGCTAGAAGTTTATATTCTATTCTATTCTACTATATTCTATTCCCTTGCATCTAGGCTCCAGAAAAGACACAGAGTCCCAAACTTCTTATTCTGGTCTATTCGAATATATTCCATTCTATTTTAGTCTACTCTGGTGAGCCAGCCACAGAGAAACAGAACCAAAAAACCTC